CTCAGCGGACACAACATCTTTGTTGGTATGTGGTGCTGAGGATCGAACCCGGGCCGCACGCATGCCAGGCGAGCGCGTTACCACTTGAGCCACATCCCCAGCCCCCATGAATAGGGAATTTTTATGTTATATAAAGCTTCTCAGTTCCTTTTTCAAAATTGGCATGATGAGGATACCAAGACCTAAAAATAACACATTAAAGAAAACCACAAGTTACTCTTAGGAATAGTCATGAAAAATATTAAACTAATAGCAAGATACACAAAGAATATAGATGTCAAACTTGTAGCCTCCTCATTGCCCCTCTCCACTTCCTATCTTCCTCAGTCTGCTCTGTTTTGGTGGCTTCTCTTTTTTTTTTTTTAACCCTTGAACGCAGGGGCACTTCATTACTGATCCACATCCTCAGTACTTTTTATTTTGAGACAGTCTTGTAAGTTGCTCCAGCTGGTCTTGAACTTGATCATTCTGCCGAAAGACACCTGAGTTGCAGGGATTACAGCATGCCCTGGGCTCCGACTGACCCTTCATATTAGGATTCCAACATTACAGTTCCTAAAGACTCTTGGCACCAAGCCCCTCCTCGATCTGTACTCTCTTGCTGGGAATCTCATCAGTTCCTGTGACCCTGCTCCCCACCCCAACCTGTCTTGATGTGCCACCTTCAGGTCGGACATTTGCTCTGATTTCCAGATTCTTAGCATGATTGACATTTCTACTTGTCTTTTCACATCTTAAACTGAACCGTGTCCGAAGTGGAAGAACTGTTTCCCATTTCAGTTGTTTTCCCCTCAGCTATCCCAAGTTAATCAAGAGTCAGATCTAAGAGTCAGTTAGTTCTTCCCTTTACCTCCTGTTTCTGTTTCAGCGACAAAACCCAACTAATCTTTTCCCAAAATATATCATGGTTTTCCCCACTTCCATCTGTATCTGTCACCATCCCTTTTCAGACTGTCATCCACTGAGATCACCAGAGTAGCCTCCTCGCCTCTTTTCCCACTTCCACTCTTATGAAGACTGGAGGTGAGACAAGTAAAAATGACACGACTACTGACGAATAAGAAAAAGACTAATGTTTCATTGTAAAAATGAGCAAAAGAAATACATATACATTAAACTTGTGAGACTGAACATCTTTTCAAACTTCAAAAAAAAAAGTAAGAAGAGTACATATATCCTTTGCCCCGATTTATCTATTGTTTACATTAAAGAGTGAATTAAAGCCATTGTATCCCTCAATTCCCAGATACTTTAGTGTGTTTCTTGAGAACAATGATTTTCTTTTCTGTATCCAGTTACCAAAGCCAGGAAGCTTAACATGCATTTAAGATTATTATCTACCTTAGTGTCTATATTCAGAATTGGTTGCCTATGAAGGTGCTTTATAGTTACTTTCTCTTCTGGATTACCATCTAATCTAGGATCATACATTGCAATTGAGTTACTGTGTCCCATTAGTCATTTTTTTTTTAAGAGAGAGTGAGAGAGAGAGAGAGAATTTTTAATATTTATTTTTTAGTTCTCGGCGGACACAACATCTTTGTTGGTATGTGGTGCTGAGGATCGAACCCGGGCCGCACGCATGCCAGGCGAGCGCTACCGCTTGAGCCACATCCCCAGCCCCCATTAGTCATCTTTAGTGGAAAAGTTTCAGTTTATTTGATGTTTCCTCATAATTAGATTGAGAGTAATGAATTTTTGACAGAAATATAGAAATGGTAGTATTCTTCATATTAGGAGGACCATGATGTCAGTTTACCCATTTGGGTAAGATGGTATCTGCAAGGTTTTTCTTGTAGTGTTTTTCTCTTTGTTATTAAAAATAATCTGAGTGATAATTTGAGACTATTATTTAAGTTCAAATTATCTTGTTTCTCAACAAATTTTCACTCCATAGTTGTAGCATCTATTGATGGTTTTCTAGCTCTGTCATTCTCTTTCCATATTTATTGTTTGTATTCTACTGTAAGAAAACATTTTTTCCCTCATTTATTTAGCTGTTTATAGTTGAGTAGATTACTAAATAACTTTATTCAGTGAGTTATAATCCATTATTCTATTAGATTTTTAACCTAGTTTTAGCTTCCTGCATTGTGTGTTCTGGTCCTGTAGAATTTCTCTGTCCTTGGTCCTCCTCTCCCTGGTTTTCCAGACTAATGTTTACTTGATCCATTTCCTTATGGGCTTGATTTGTTTCCTTTTGCTATTATTTATACAATTTTATGGGTAACATTCTCAAGTTGGCATGTTGACATAGGTGTTCATGTGTGTTGTATTAATTCAGCATAATACAGAATAAGGGAATCTTGCATTGTGTTCTAAAAATGATTGTGTGATTTAGAAATTAGAAGCTCCTCTGTCCACCAGCAGCAAAGTTAGCTGTGTTGGGAATCGGAATTTTTCAATTTGGTCATCTTCAAATTTAACAAACCTTGCTTGAGCAAAAGATGAAAGGTTAAAAAAAATAAATAAGTAGTGGCCAGTTATTCCTTTTCCAGATTTAGAGAGTATTAGCATTGTAATTGCATCAAAGACCAATCCATYAGACATAGGATCCCTACCAAAGTCTTAGGATGTTGTATCTAAGAATTGAACATTCAACAAATGTCTGTTTTGGGTCTACTATGTGCTGGACACTAGGGTAGACAGATGGCATATAGCAGCCCCCAAGCAAACAAGAGACCCTCCCTCAAGAAACTAGCATCCTAGCAGGACAGACAAGACTGCTAACAAATACATATAGTAATTTATCAGTTGGTTGCTGAATTCTGTGGGGGTAGGAGACACAAAGCAARGGAGGTAGATTTTGGACTGAGAGGTTTTTGTTTTTTGGTACTGGGGATTAAACCTAGGAGCACCACATACATACATTTTTATACATACATACATACAAGAGGGTCTTGCTGAATTGCTTAGAGCCTCACTAAGTTGCTGAGGGTAGGCTGGCTTTGAACTTGTTGGTGGGATTATAGGCGTGCACCACTGTGCCTGGCAAGAGGTACTTTTTAATGGCATGGTTAAGAAAGAAAAGTGAACTTAGGGGTTGGGAATATAGCTCAGTTGGTAGAGTGCTTGCATTGCATGCACAAGGCCCTGGGTTCAATCCCCAGCAACACACACACACACACACACACACACACACACACACTGAATTTAGAGAACTGAATGAAGCCACAAGAAAAGGGGGTAGAGTTGAAGTCAGAGAGAGCACCTTATAGGGCAGCCAATCCAAGGCTGCAAAGTGAAGGGGTCCTTGGTGGGCCTGAAGACAGTTTGGGGACATTGCTATTTAGAGATCAGGGGATGAGTCAGCAAAGCAGAAGCCTTAGGGGATGTAGGAGAATAGGGGAAGAGGTACTTGGATGCAAGATGAACAAACTGTTTCCAGGAGGAGGCAGGAACTAAAGTCAGATTTTGCTGGTAGGTTAAATGAAGATGGAGAACTGTTGGATTTGAGAGACCTTGTAGGCTGTTTTAGTGGAGTGGTGGGCAAAAAATTCTCATTGAAATAGATTTGAGAGAGAATACACTGAGTCCAGATAACTCTTTGGAGGATTTTGCTCTAAAGGGGAGCAGAAAAGTGTAATGGGACCAAGGGTAGTGTGGGACCTATGGAGGGGGTTTTTACACRTGGCAGGCATACATTAGTAGGCTGATAGAAATTGCCCGACTGATGGTGCACCTCTTTTGACAGAGGAGAAGGGAGAGTAGCAGGTACAACTCAACTTACTAGCGGGATTATGAGGTGTATACACATGAGACTGACTATGCTGGGAACCAGAGTCACCTGCAGTGTTGGGAGGGAAGCAGAATGTGTCCTGGAGTTTGTACAGATAGAGAAGCCAAAGAAACCAAGTGGGCCACCAGGATATCTGCATCCCTTTTCTGCTTTTTTCCTTGCTTCTGGCATCTGTGGATTTTCATTTCTTTGATCTTCACCTTCCTACCTCTCCCCCACTCCCCAACTTAAAGAATGAACATTTCTTTGGATTGGTGGTGGTAGAGGGTGCTATCCTTGAGTTAGTCTAGTTAGTGCCATGTTCCTAGAAGTCAAAAATTAAAGAGATCCTTTGAAAGAGTTTGAGAAGCCTTATTGTTACAGGAAAAAGATTATAGAAACTTTTAATATAACTGAAATAAACAGTATGTGTTAAATTGTAACTGTTTGTCTAGAAGAATCTAAAAGTCTCCTTAGCAAATTAAAAAGTAGAAGGACTCATCTGAGTAAATAGTCATATTGATATAGTTCTGATTATAAAAGGAATACGTGTTTGTTGTATTCAGTTACAGAAGTATGTATAGCAAAGTCAGTCCTTTCCCAGTTTGTCCCAACCCATCCTGCCTTCTAGAAAGAATCACAGTTAATAGTTTGTAAAATAACGTTTTCCAGATTTTTTGTTTGTTTGTTTCCTTCCCTCTTCCTCTCTCCCTCCTTCCTGGTCCTGGGGATTGAACCCACAGCTTGGCATCTGCTAGGTAAGCACTCTGCAACTAATCTACATCCTCAGTTCCTTTTATTAATTTTGAGACTGGATCTTACCAAGTTGCCTAGGCTGGCCTAGAATTTGAAACCTTCCAGCCTCAGCCTCCTGAGTTGCTGGGCTTTTAGGTATGCGTCACTGTACCTGGCCTCCCAGATTTTTCTACATACACAGGTATTTAATCAGTGTTTCTTTCCATTTAGCTGCTTGATGTGTTTTCAGTAGAGAACTAAAGAAAAACTACCTAACTGCAACACTGATTTCCAGATTTAATATGCAAATATTTTAAATTCAAGGTCTGTGTACACGCATATAATTTAAATTGTCTGTGTTGAAACAGCCCATCTCAAAATTAGTGCTTGTCCTCATTTCAGAATTAAATGTTTCTTTGATACTGAAATAATGAAATGCCTGTCGTAGCATTTGACATAAGGGTTTATAAGATCACTAAACAATTAAGTGAAATGCCATTTGCTTATTTTATTTGGGTTTCTAAGCACATTGTTGGGTACTTTTTAGGAGAATCAAGTATCAAGAGAGAAGTATGAAGGTATGGATCACAGATCTGAGGAGGAAGAAAATGAGGAAAGGGTGTTGGGCCAGAAGGAGAAATTACAACAGAATAATGAAGATGAAAACAAAGTAGCAGATAAACCTGAGTGGGAGGCGGAAAAGACTGCTGAATCTAGAAATGAGGTGAGCACATCAGAATCTTCTAGTCTTGCCGTTTTGGCTTTTGTGTAGCTTTGTGGCATTGACAATTTACATTGAGAATGAATTTTGCATGTAAGTATGCTCCGCTGTTTCAAATCTGACATATGAAAAAGTATAATTAGACTTAAAAAAGAATCAGCTCACAGAATGTTTTCTCTGGTTAAACTCAAGATTTTGCAGTACATGCACACATACCCTCCAGCAACCTGCTAGCAGGTTTTGCTCATTGTGTTTGCCAAGATAAGGGATAAGTACATGACTGACATTCTGGATCCAAGCTGGCTGGGTCCTGGAGAACAAGAAAGAGGACTAACCCTGTAGCCAAATCACCTAAGGCYTGAGTCCAGATCTGCAGTCTGCTAGTGGGCCAAGCAGACCCGTTGACATTCAGGAGCACATTTCATACTTCTGGTCTCTCTTCTAAGGGGCCAGGCCTGGTGGTCCACCTTATTGGCTACTCATTGACTAAACGTACTCTGAGAGAAGAGGTATAGAAAGATGAACTCTAGAAGCTTGGCTGAAGGGGATGGGTTCTTCCTGCAGCCTGGTCTTACCCTCTTCTTTTACTTGGACCAAATCTGGTTTCTATTCTGTCCTGAGGTCCTGCCCACAAGCCTGGCACATAGGTGCTCCAGAGACAGGCCTGGGGATTCCACAGACCTTTAGTCACATGGCACTTCTACCCAGAAGGAACACCCTTGCAGATCTTGTCCTGATGGACCTTTTCACCATGACCTGCTTCAGCATGTCCCCTCCCTGGGAGGTAGRGGTTGACCCTGATCTGTGAACCTGCTTGGATGATGGAAAATACCATGCCTGGCCCGTCCCAGACAGTCCAACCTCACTGAGGTTTTGACCATGTAACATTACAAACATTACTTGATTTTTATGTAGTGCAATCAGAAATAGCTTTGTTCTCTTTGCCTACCCACTACTCTTCCTGCCCCTTCYAGCCTGTTCTAACCTGTTCTAGGGGAACCAGTTCTTCCTTCCACTGTGGGTAAAATCTAGGGCAGGTCACATGACTTCTAGATAATCAGATTTTAGAAGTTCTTCTGGTCATTCTAATGCACCAATTGACAAAAAATAATCCAGTGTAGTTCTCAAAAATTTACAACCAAAATTTAGCTTCTTCCCTCTTCCCATCTCATCTGTTGAACCCACAAGGCTTTTTCCTAGTGTGGAAAAGGTATGTATGGCCATGTCCTCTAATTCCTCAGTTTGTCCTCTCCTGCCTGTTAGGCTGTTTTCCCTGGGGCTGAGGATATGGAGTGGTAAGAATTCAGGAGAGGTTATTTGGCACCAACTGGGCATTGTTTCCCTTGACCTTGGGATACAGTTTCATTTCAGATTAGTTACTTTCATTTTGTAGATTCTTTGGGGAATCCCTGCTCTTGTAGCTAGGCGTCTTTCATCTGCCATTCTCTTGAAAAGGGCAAATGCATCTCCACCTCCAGCTGGTGCAATGGATTCTTAAATATTCAGCCACAGTCTCTCCATCAGGCCCTATCAACCACTATCTGGCTGCTTAGCATGGGTTCCTGGCCACATGCTTTTTACATCCTTTGTATTTCTCAGGCAAGACCTGAGAAGTAGACTGCAGGGAGCACACACCAAGTTTGTAAGTAGTTCTCTCTGAGGTTTTTTCTGTTCTTTAGGTAAGAAGGAGGGTAGAGAGATTCACCCCATTTTCATTCCCTAACTTCTTCAGCTTCAACTCATATATGCCCTCCATCTCAGTCTGGCATTTCATTTCAAATTTCTAAGCATTTGGCACCTGCCTGTGCTTTTCTCCATATACTGGTATTCTCCCTGACCCCTCATTTACTTATTAGACTTTTATCTTTCCTCAGGTATCTTTTATGTGGCTTTACTACCATTGCCTACACACACACAAGCAACATATGGTTATGTCAGTGCCTATGGACATATACTGAAAAATCCATATTTATTTTGCAGGAGACATCATTTTTTAGCCCATATTCCTAAATGAATGTGTGTGTGTGTGTGTGTGTGTGTGTGTGTGTGTGTGTGTGTGTCCCAACACTGGGGGTCGAACCCAGGGCCTTGTACATGTTAGGCAAACTTCCCCTGAACCACTTCCTTAGCCTGGGAGAGTATTCTCCCACCACTTATTTAATGCTTCCTGGTATATTTCGTCATGCTGTTGTGTACTTTTTCTCCTGGATATGTGGTATGTCTTTGCCTTTACTCCCTCACTGGGTATCACAGAAAAGCAGGAACTGTTCAAGTCTTTGAATTAAATGTTAGCAATTAATTCCCTGCTAGATAAACAGAGGACACTCATTCAATTTTTTATTAGAAACAGTGTCTCCCAAAGTTGCTTAGGGCTTTGCTAAATTGCTGGGGCTGACTTTGAACTTGTGATCCTCCTGCCTCAGCCTCCCGAGTTACTGAGATTACAGGTATGCACCTCCATGTCCGGCTCATTAAATGAGTAGATAAAGCAAGGAGCTGAGTTGAAGAGAAGGTAAAATGTAATATGACGTAGGAAAACATCAGTTTGAAATACATTAATCAGGGGCTGGGGTGGTGGCTCAGTGGTGTGGAGTGCTGGCCTAGCATGCATGAAGCACTGAAATCCATCCTCAGTACTACATAAAAACAAACTAATGTATCCACCTAAAACTAAAGATACATAAATAAATCACCCAAAGAGCAAGGCATTTGTGCCCCAGGTCCTATCAGGCTCAGCTCCTCATCATTTACATCAGAGGTCTTTGTATACTGTAAGTTGTACAACATTTTTTAAATTTCCTTTTTTATTAGAGCTTTATAGTTGAATGTAGTTGGGGTTTTTTTGTTTTGTGGTGCTGGGGATTGATCTCAGGAAGCACTCGACCAACTGAGCTATATCCCCAGCCCCCCAACCCTTTCTATTGAAAGTCAGTGGTAAGTTGCTTAGGGCTTTGAAAAGTTGCTAAGGTTGGCTTTGAATCTGTGATCTTCCTGCCTCAGCCTCCTGAGTCATCAGGATTACAGGCGTTTAAGGTAGCTCTAACTAGTAATTTGCATTTTTAAAGATATTTTGTCAGGTGAGTGAATCATTGGCATTTCCATTCATTTGGATGACAACCCTAGAAGAATACCTAGGGACAGTGATAAAATTTACCACATGCTTTCTCTCTAGCTCCACTGCAGGCAATTAATGAATTCATTGTATAYGCAGATTAAATGGTTCAAAGACATTTTCTTCTCACTAAGGAGAAACTGAACTGAACTTATGTGTATCCACCATGTTCTTTGAATATTCCTAGTGGTCTTTGTTCAAAATGCAGTGAGGTCTTAACCTAAAATGGAACTGTATGTTTTTATTTTATATGAGGATTAGAAACAATTACAAGAATCTGACTTAATTTCCTGGCACTCTAAATTGAACTGAAGTACAGTATAAGTTGTCTTACAGATTAATATTTAAAAATAGCTCAGCCATCCATTTTTAGGTAAGACTTAAACTCAGGTGAACAAAATATATATAAGTAGTTTGATTTTTAAGTGGTGGAGTTCTTTGAAATCAAATGCCTCAAAATTGTCCTCTGAGGTATAGTAGACCGAAAAAAGTATTGCTTATTGTCTACAACAGAATACTTTCCATAGTTAAAATGCTCAATTAGAAGGTATGTGATGATGAAACTCTGGGAAAAAAATGAATTTTTGATATAGAGGTTATAACCTCTATATCAAAGAAAAGACTGAGTAATTAGCAACAACATGAAGCTCTTACCACCTTTAGGACCTAAAGGAATCTGAGGAGAAACAGCTCAGTGAGAACTGGAATTGATGAATCAGCAAACCCTAGTCTTTAAGGGAATCACTCTTACATCTGTCTCCTGTTGGACATGTCACCCCACCTGGTGGGGGTTAGCCCTTCAGCTCTCAATCTCCTGGGTGCTAACAGGAATAATAAAACAACAACAACAACAAAAAAAAAACCTCATAAAACACAACATTGGCTACTCTAAAAGACCAGTCCATATTTCACTTTTAAATAATCCTTGAATTGTTTTTGCAGAGGCTGGGGTTGTGGCTCAGTGGTTGCACACTTGCCTGGCATGTGTGAGGCACTGGATTCRATTCTCAGGCCCACATATAAATAAAATAAAGGTCCATCAACAATTAAAAATATATTTTTTAAAAAATTGTTTTTGCAGTAATCCAAGTAGATTTGTGCTGATGTTACCCGTTCTCACTTGTGATTATCAGTAAATTTTGGTTGGGGGGCCAAAGAAAAATTCAAAGTTGGGGTCATTAATAGAATGCTTTAGAGTATTAAAAAATGAGGTCTAGGAATTGGGATTGTGGCTCAGTGGTAGAGCTCTTGTCTGGCATATGTTGAAGCATCGGGTTTAATTCTCAGCACCACATACAAATACATACATAAAATAAAAATTTCATCAACAATAAAAATAGTTTTTTAAAAAGAGGTCTCATTTTAATAACAATAGTTTGGTTGGCAAATAAGTCCAGTCATTAAAACATGTAATTTCCCAAAGAGGAGCAAGAAAAAAATCTTTTCCACTAATTTAGCTTAAATAGTCCTATAGCATCTACAGACATCGAAAAATCTAATTTATCATGGGTCCTAAAAAAACAGGACTTMATAGAACTTGAGAAATTTGGCAGAAAAGGAAACTATGTATCTTGACTGATTTTTTTATTTAAATTTTTTTTTTTTTAGTTGTAGATGGACACAATACATTTTTTAATTTTGTGTGGTGCTGAGGATTTGAACCAAGTGCCTCACACATGCCAGGTAAGTGCTTTACCACTGAGCCACAACCCCAGCCCTGAAACTTTTTTTTTTTTTTTTGTAATGAGGATGGGCCTCAGGGGCACTCAAGAACCACATCCCCAGTCTTATTTTGTATTTTATTTAGAGACAGGATCTTGCCGAGTTGCTTAGTGCCTCACTGTTGCTGAGGCTGACTTTGAACTCTTGATCCTCCTGTCTCAGATTCCCGAGCTGCTGGGATTACAGGTGTGTGCCACCGGGCCCAGCTCATGAAACTTAAGTTCAACTCGCTGCCTCTTGCATGGTAAGCTAGTGCCCTACCAGTGAGCTTGACTTCCAGGCCTCCAATTGGTCTGAATCTTCCAAAAAACATAAACAAGAAGAAAAAATATATATATGAGGGTAGGAGTGAAGCACAGAACATGAATACCTCATTCAGGACCATGAATTCACTAACATAAAGATAATCTAACAGGTGTGAAGGCACACACCTGTAATCTAGTGATCTGGGAATCTGGCAAGAGAATTGCAACTTTAAAACTAGCCTGCGTCACTTAGCAAGACTAAAGGGATAGGGCTATATAGCTCAATGGTAGAGGGCCCCTGGGTCAATTCCCAGCACCTCAAAAAAAAAAAAAAAAAAAAAAAAAAAAAAAACCATAAAACCCTTGTGCACGCACTAAAAACAGCGATCCTGAATTAAAAAATGGACAATTTCAAGAAAACGCAGTAACAAAGGAATTCTATATAGAGTAAGATTGAGTGGCTTGGAATGTGAACTAAAAGGTCTTGATCTATACTACCAATACAAGGAATCCTAAACCAAGAAACAGAGTTTAGAAATTATGAACAAGTTTTGGAGAGAGAGAAAAACACAAAATTGCTTTAGTTAGTGGCTCTTCATTGTGTGAGGTTCTTACAGAAATTTCCCAGCAAAGATGAGTTTACAGAAGGACATGCCTGTAATCTTAGTAGCTCAGAAGGCCCAGACAGGAGGATCATGGGATCGAAGCCAGTCTCTGCAAAAAGGAGGCACTAAGCACTCAGTAAGACCCTGCCTCTAATCAAATACAAAATAGGGCTGGGGATGTGGCTCAGTTGTGCTGGAACAACAACAACAAAGATGAGCTTATGTTTTAAAAATCATGAATGACATGCAGAAATAAATGCTGAGTCTTGAGAAAAAAAAAAGACTGAAATCTGAGGCATGCCAGGCACTGTGGCACATGCCTATCATCCCAGCAGCTGGAGAGGCTAAGGCAGGAGGATCAAAAATTCAAAGCCAGCTTTAGCAAATTTAGGAGGCCATAAACAACTTGTCTCAAAATAAAAGTGCTAGAGATGTGGCTCAGTGGTTCTGGGTCCAATCCCTGGTATCAAAAGAAAAAGAAATCCTCAGCATGAAAAATGTGGACACAAAGAGATAAATACCCAGAATATACTACAGAGATGCAAAATATTAAAAAATTGAGGCAGTGAGAGAAAAAAAAAGTCTAACCCCAGACGTTAAGAGTTTGAAGCATGAAGGCAAAATAGTTCCAGGATACAAAAACTTTATTTTTCTGTCAAAGGAGTTACTTCAACAAGAAGCTTTATGTTGAAGGCAGAAGTGAAGTGAAGCAAAGAATAAGTTGGGAAAGACATTAGGGCAAATATAAGAATGTAGCTTTATGGAGGAGCAAAATAAAATAAGGCTTGGAACTTAAAATAGTGGCTAAAAATTATGTGGAAGATGGTTAGGTTAGGAGAAGAATGGTGGGGTTTGTAGTTTATTCTWATTACAAAATTAAGTACTAAGGGAAATAGAATGTAAAGCTCCCAACCAGGGAATAAAATAGGGATAAAAGATCCAAATATCCTAAAACCCTATACAACCACTTATCTTTTGTCTGAAGACTGGTGTGCCTGTTTTGTTTTTCTAGATACATCTCAATGGGACAGATACATCTTTCTCTCTAGAAGACTTATTTCAGCTGCTTTCTTCACAACCTGAATATTCTCTAGAGGTAATTGTAATCTTGATTTTACTTGGATGATATAGTTTGTCAAACTTGTGAATTAAGCACACAGAACTTTATACTTTACAGAAATCAATTAGCATATTCATATTAAAAGCTACATGGTAGTTTATACTTATGCTGACATTATCTAAAAACAGTTCTTTTGTTAGTATTGTCAAGTTATTAGGTAATAGAACTCTTTTTTAAAGTGCCATCTTTCCATTATTTTTCAGAACATCTCAGAAGATTTTCCACCTCTTCTAGGGAGTACCAGTGATGGCATAAATTCTTTAGCACATTACAATGTAAATTTTACCCAGGCTATAAGTCATGATGTCAATCTCCATGAGGCCATGTTGTTGTATCCCAACACCACATTTAGAAGAGATCCCGAAGCAAGAACTTCACAGGCACAGGAACAATTTTTGCAGCTGAATTTKCATTCCAATCCAGAACAAACCCTTCCAGAAACAGGATTTGTTCCACCTGTTGACAATCAGATGTGGAATCTAACAAGCCAAGACCTTCTGTATGACCTTGATGCAAATATACTTGATGAGATAGACTTATTGTCATTAGTCACAGAAGAAAATTTTGATCCCATGGAAATCTCTCAGCTTTTTGAAGAACCAGACTCATTGAATTCAAGTCACCATTGCAATTTTTCTCTCTCGGTGTGTGAAGAAGAAGGTGCTATAGGTTATAGTAGTGACCCTGTTTCTCCTCATTATGACTTAGAAGGGGCTGTAGGAGGCTACTACCCAGAATCCAGTAAACTGTGTCGCACGCATCAGAGGAATGAATCTGGTTTTCATGGGGATCTCACATTTCACATAGTTCATGACCACACTTACCACACGAAGCCAGATGAACTAGAACCCACTTCTGAATCGTTTTCATGGCCTGGGAAATCACAGAAAGTGAGTAGGTACCTCAATGATACACAGAGAAATCTAAGCCGTGATGAACAACGGGCTAAAGCTCTGCATATCCCTTTTTCAGTAGATGAAATTGTCCGTATGCCTGTTGATTCTTTTAACAGAATGTTAAGCAGGTATTATCTGACAGACTTACAAGTCTCACTCATTCGTGATATCAGACGAAGAGGGAAAAACAAAGTTGCTGCCCAGAACTGTCGTAAACGCAAATTAGACATAATTTTGAATCTAGAAGATGAAGTGTGCAATTTACAAGCAAAGAAAGAGACCCTTAAAAGAGAACAAGCCCAATGCAACAAAGCAATTAACATAATGAAACAAAAACTGCATGACCTCTGTCATGATGTTTTTAGTAGGTTAAGAGATGGTGAGGGCAGGCCTGTCGATCCAAACCTGTATGCACTTCAGTGCAGTCATGATGGAACTGTTTTGATTGTGCCCAAAGAACTGGTGACCTCAGGCCACAAAAAGGAAGGCCAAAAGGGAAAAAGGAAAAAGTGAGAAGAAATTTAAAATTGATTCCTTTTAATATTCAGAAACATTAGTTGGGTCGCAGACCATTGAAACAGCGTAAATTCAGTTCTAACTTTGGGATTTTATTCAAGTGTGTGTTTTAATCTATTACTGCAACTTGAATTACTTAAGGCAATATATATTGATGTTTGTTATATATATATGATGTTTGTATCAATACATATTTAAGATCACACTTCAGGGAAAAGGTGGGGGAGTAAGAATATTGACAATAAGGCGGACACTGGGGATCATGGTACAAACCAGCCTTAACATTGTTTGGTACTGTAGTTAAGCTTTTAATTTGTATATTTAACTTATACTTTTTTGTGAAAATAAACTTTATATTTGAATTCATATAAAAACAAAGACCTACCTCTTAAGAATTTGTTGTTGATGGACCTTTATTTTGCTTGTGGTATTGAACCCAGTGCCTCACACATGCTAGGCAAGTACACCACCACTGAACCACAACCCCAGCCCCCCTAAAAGACCCACATCTTCAAATGCTGGTGAGCAAACTATAAAGGCATAGTAGGATAATATGGGAAATTTCCTTCCTGATTTGTTGAGCTAAAAACTATACCTCTCCAACAATGAGCAAGAAGGCCTAGCAGCACAAAAATCAGATGACCACACTAACATGATCTTACCAGCTAACAGATTTCACCAAAAAATCATGTTATAAAAATCTCTTGCATTGTGTTTGAGATGAATATCTTGCTATATTTGGGAAAATGTCAATCTTTGCACAGCCTGGTTTGGGCTAAGTTACAGCTATATTTTTAAAACTGCCTGAAGGATCCTTTGAGAAGTTTGATACTCAACTGCTAGGCATCAGTTCAATGGTGGTACTTGTCAAGGATGAATTTTGATAAGCATCCTGGATTTGGGGCATGTTAATGGATACATCACTATGATCTCATTCTTGTCTTACAATAGAACCAACAGAAAGTCATTGCTAGCCTGGGACTCTTCCCATTACCTCTAGTTTTGCCCATTACCTCTAGTTTCTTCAAAAAGARACCAATGTGCAGATAGCCCCCCTGTGAATRTACTTTAATTCCAGGTCATGTGAATTGGCCCGTATCTCAGACTTTTGTACTGACCAACTATTTTCCCCAAAAATCTCCACAATACTTCCGGCAGYGACTCACCAGGATTGACACACAAATGACTTTATGCTCTCCCTTTTTAAGTGTATGCCAATTGAGGACAGTTGGTCCCAACATCCGTTCATTCTGTACTGACCTTCAAAGCAAGCTTATGAGGTCTTGAGATTTTCACAAGCATAATTCTCTTCCCCAATCTACCTATCAAAAATGTTTCTTCTTGCTGGCCTCACCCACCCTTATGGCAGGAAAAAATGCTCAATAGCATTAAGTGTTGGCATTAAGACAATCAAGGTACTTGAAGTTCTAAATCTTGACTTGAAAGTTCATGTACATGCAGGGTTGTTACATGAGAAATGTTAATTACTACGGATAGTAATGCAAGTAATTATTAAAATCTTAATTACCCCYTAAATCCTCCTAAGATTTGTAAAAGCTTTCCCAATGTGGCAAGGCACTGTCAAGCCTAAAAAGGTAGTTCCCAGTGATGTTTGTTATTGATAATTATGTCAGTGGCACCCCATCAAATTGCAGGAATCAATATACTTGGCTRTGTCCTGTGGGTTTTCCTTGCTCCTCAATCTCGGGAAAAACAAATGTTGCATGACCTTTCAGTCCTTAAGTGGCTCTTATGGATGTGAAATGTCCAGTTATAGCCAAATTTTCTGATTGTTTCCTTGAGTTYAAGTCATAACCATATTTAAGATGCTCCCCCACCAGTGACCCACAGATAAAGCACAAGTTGTCCAAGTACAGAAGTGATTGCAATGATAAAGTTTATGCCCAAGACAAACATGCCACCACCCCCATTAAAATAATTTCCTTCTTTTTAAGACACATCTAGGATTACGAGAAGCTACCCGGTTAATTTCTGAAATATACAAGCGTGTAGAAAAATTGCCGTTATCTGGGTAAACCGTTATTTTCATGTGCCAGTTCATTTTCCCCATTATACTTCCCTTGACTTTGGTTAGAATTGGTACTGACGTTGTGTGTTGTGCCAATTTACTTCAGTTCAAAGTTTAACTTGTTTGTAGTCACTTTTTAAACCTTTGAAATTTTTCCTTAAAAACTGAAGGCTAGAATTCAGACAAGCTCATAGTTGATGACAGGATAAATACAAAGTATTTCAAATGAGACATGAGAGCTGGTAATATGAGCTAGTTGTTAATCTGACTTACCTGTTAGACACCTATTATCAAAAGCAAAAGAAATTAATCAGACCAAGTCAACTAACTTTGTATGCCCTTTTCTGGTTTCTTCAATACATTCAGGTAAAGATGTCCATATTAAGTTTCCATTATGAAATTGACCCACAAAGCTACATTTTTCAAAGACCATCACTATTCATTTACAAACAGATTTCAATATAACCCTTAGTTGACAAAACACTACAGCATGCCAGGTTTTTGTCTCAGTGCCTTTCACAAGCCAATACACCACTTGAGCTGGTTAAAAAGCATGGTTTTAAAACACCAACAATGTTCAACAGAGGAAAACTGTAGCAGTATTCAAACGCTGAATGTATAGTGCATGAAGAATAGCATTTTATTAGGGACAGCCAATAATGTCCACAATGCTTTTCTCATTTGTCTATAATATTCAAAGAAAAATGGCAATATGCATAAATCTGAAAACTGCTTTTAAAAAAAATAGGGGATGGAAATCTTGTAGACAACCGAATGTTGAAGAACAAGATTCACACATTTTATGTGTAAACATTACACCAAGTATTTGGATACAAAAGTATTTATTTTTATAAATTTTGTATTTAAAATAGAACTTTATCTGTCTACTCACAAAACCTAATTTAAAACATGATACATTTATCTCTCTAGCTTATTGTTATTTTACAAACAACACTCATTTTGTAATCATTTTACCAAGAACCTGTACTAAATATTTGTTTTTATCAGAAAACATTTCCCTTTTATGTTAAAGAGTGCTTCTTAAATGAAGGCACCAACAAGAACTACTTTCAGATGGTACAGTATTTCTTATTTCTTGAAGACTCTGTGGTTGACCACTTCTTCATTAGTTACCTGCAGCAAGACACCTTCCTGCCAAAGGAAAAAAAAAGTATCTGAAGAAGTTTATCATGTTTGTCCAAAGAACCTAAATAACTTCAGTGGTGGTCTTAGGATCAAAGAAAGACTCACTGATGCATACAGAATAAGCCCTGCATATCACATTCCTGAAAAGGCAGTAAAGCCAGGAAATCAACTTAGTAATAGTTTTAGGAAACGAATTTCAGCAGTCAACCTACAGCTGTTTAGGATAGGACATGGGGTAAAAATTACATTTTAAMCCAACTATCAGTAATGGGTACATACAAGATTCATAATGTAGACAGACATTTTACTTGTAAGTATGAGGTATTATCTGGAAAAAATCCAACTATTTTGTCCTACCTTCTGTCAGCCTCATCAAAAGTATGTAAAGTTAGAACCATAAATGTCTATTTTATTTAAAAAATCCTAGGTTCACTCAAAATGCCTGCTCCAAGAAATGTGAATACACAAGGGTGCAACGATGGGAAATCTCACGATTTATTGAACTTGCAGCCTAACTTTACCTACCATTTTACTACCAACACCACTGAAGGAACCAAGAAAAGCTTTATTAATGATCACTTGGCTTGCCTCAGCTGTTGAAATGAAGCACTTTACAGTCTTTGTGGCAGCAGAATATACTTGTCCATGGTTCATATCAATGCTAAATTCCAGCAGGGAAAAAAATGATATGTTAAGCACCTGAATCTTCATGGAGAGGGAGGGGGTGGGAAAGAAGGAAAAAAAGGGAAAAACAACCAAAATAATTTAAGTAAATGACAGATTGGAAAACAGGGTTTATAAAAATTATTCTCTTTTGAGTTTATATATTGTTAAACTCAATTTGTAGCTATGTTAAACTACATTAAGAACCACTATACTGTAAGACCATTGAAGAGTTATTAGTTTATCTTTTAGGGAGGAAAATTAAGAAAGGAAAAGTAAATAAGATCTTACCTAAAGAAGTTTAACTGAAGCTTAGAACTATTTTGCTCTACACCCTCAGCTTTCGTTGGCATCCTTATAAACTACTGTAGTTAAAACTTTGTAGAAAACAGCACAGTTTTTTAAGACTGGCTGAACTTAGTAGCCGTCAAGAGTTCTCTTGTACTAGACCTGTGTCCCTGAAGAGTACCTCGCTGGGGTTATTTCCTTTCCTTGCATTGAAGAAGCAGCATCTAAAAGATCTAAAAAGGTGTTTCTCTTTGCAGAGATATCCCTTAAGTTATCTAGATAATTTAATCCTGATGAATTGCAGACAACACACTTACATCTGACCACAATTTATCTTATACAATATAACAACAGCTTTGCAATGGACCTTAATTATACTACCCACTCCTTAACTTATTTAAAATAAAAAGTCTATAATTACACAATTTCCTTTAGAATTATTTTATTAAATCATAAATGTACAACAGCTTCTTAACTCTACACACGCACTTAAATTTTTTAAAGGAAAAACGTTATGTCTTATTACACCATGATCCTGGCTAATAGCTTTTCAAAACTTTGAGAAAAATCTTAAAAAAGGTTTCACATGTCACCTGAAACTTACAAATTTAACATTATCAAAGAAGGAATGCTTCTACACTCTTACAAAGACCACTAGAAAGAAACAACAATTAAAAAGCTAAGAAACTGTCTCAAAGGCATTTTTTTTTTTTACAATCCTTCCTCCACAGTAAGGTAATGTTATTAAATAATCCAATCCATTCCCAAAATGGCTCTCTGCATCTGCTCTGGTGTCTTCTGCCATATCACTGCATATTTATGCATGACTGAGATAAGAGTTTCCTTAACATTGTTATTTCGATAACCTGAAGCTGTTCTGTTACCTCTGGGCTCTCATCCTCTCCTATTTATACAGTGAAGCCTGTTTCAACAGAAGTAAAGAGTAAAAAAAAAATAGGTTATGAAATTATCCATCTAACCAGATTTTAAGGAAAGATTAACATGATCCTAAAAAGCTTTTTACTCCTGCAGCTAAGTCTCCCAAGACAATATTAATTGTAAAACTCAAAAACTACTTACCCAAGGCAAATAGGATGAAGCTCAGTATCGGCTCCTCCCACCATAACCCCCACTTCCTCCACTTCCTCCAGGACCATAATTTCCTAGAAAGAGCCAAAAAGAAAGCATACTGTCATTTCCCGTAGTCATCCCCAAATCAAGTTTTTACTTTATAAACAACATAACCTTTTATGTTCAGTTAACTTGATTACTTGGGAAATGAAATATCTGGATTCATGAATATTTTAACTTTGTTCTTAAAACTTAGAAACACTATTGATGCTATAGTTTTAAGAGGCTCCCATCACCATTTGCTATTTTAGAAGAATGTATCAAGAGGCTGAAGAATCCTTTCCTACTAAAAGCTTTCTCAAGCCAAGTATCAGCTTGAATAAAGGCACTCATTTATACAGATTCATATCATGTTCTATGCACAACAATTTGACTTAGCTATCTCCTTAAAGAAATATAGGGCCCCACCTAATATCTACTTTGCTAATCCCCAAATATCGTATACAATAAAAGCATTCCACCTTGCCACACCAATCTCTAATCTGACATTAAAATCATTGTCAGAATCTCTGSAGATTTTATTTCGGTGACACCATATATGGGAGCATTACCTCATACTTATTTCCCCTTATAAATTATGAAGGACTAACCCTATAATCACTAAATTCTTAAGAACCTCAATTTGTCTTTGTATATTACCTCCACCATATGGTCCCCCCATGTTCCTGCTACCACCAAAGTTTCCACTCTTCATTGGACCATAGTTAGAAGGTTGCTGGTTATAATTTCCAAAATCATTATAACTTCCACTTCCATAATTTCCTATAAGAGAAATGAAGTATCAGTATAACAGACCTCAGAATACACCCAAACATCAAGCCAATGACAGAGCCAAGTATTGAGGACACTCCCACAAAAATAGAACCTTCTAATCTAAAATTTTAAAGGCACTTAGTGATGGTCAAACAAGCAAAWATCAAATAATAATTAATTCAAACCCAAATTACCAGATAAATATTTATTTCAGGGGTGGGAGGTGCTAGGGATGGTAGCTTGGCAGCAGTGTTTTGCCCATCATGCACCAAGCCCCACGTTTCATCTCCAGTACCCGCCTTCCCACACACCCCCCCAACAATAAAAACTCAAGAAGGTTAAGATGAAATTACCTCCTCCATAGTTGTCATAACCACCTCCATAGCCCCCACCCTGGTTTCCATATCCAGGTCCTCCACCACCATAGCCTCCTCTTCCTCCTCCATAACCAGGGCTACCTCCAAAATTGCCACCTAGTATAAAATAAACCTTAATTACTCATGTTTTCTATGCCACTTTATCATATTGAACCCATTTACAATTTCTCAAAGCACATACTTTTTATGAAACGGAATGTTTGTATATAGTAATCTCTTSTAGAATAACCTTAAAGGTAGAAATTCCTATCTTGTCCTGGGAAACAAGGATGCCTATATAACAGTAAAACCATTTATACTTAATGACTGTGATGACACCGCTCCAGAACTAAAGGTATTGTATTAAGGGTCCCTTTTTGATGGCTTCTTAAAATAAATCATGTATTTTGGGTGAAGATTATGGAAGCAGCCACTGGCACAGTTACTATAAAGAGCCACACCCATTCAACTTGCCCCAAAGATATAGACTTCCCAATTCATGTTTCTGTGAACTGCAAAATCTTTCTTATACAACTGTTAATTATCTTCTCATGACTGGAAGTAAACTGATAAGCTTTCTTATAGTTTAAAACTTCTCAAAGACTGGTACACTAAGCCTCAAATTGCTTGAAGAACAAGAACTCTGCTTTGTCCAATTAAAATTTGAGTTCTGAAGCAAGGTTTTTACAGTGAAAATACAGAGTTATTTAGTCATGCCCAATAAGGAGCAAAATTATGTCTATTAGTAACTCATGGTTTTAAAGGTCTCTTGTATTAGTTAAGTCTGTCTGGAACTGTCAACCTTTTCTGTATTTTAACCAAAGGAATACTAAAGTTATCTTAGGACATCCATCATCTAGTTGAGGACTAAGACAATCCAACTGCTCTTAGATGTGGGTCCCCCTTATATCCTGATCTCAGATAAATCTAGTATCCTACATGTTTGCAGCAAAGCAAAAATACAAARTACCACATCTAGCTCCAACTCTTTTTTCAAGAAATGAAATTACATGACATCTTCCATCTATGATTTTGCACTCTATATCAATAACTCCAAGAGTGTACTAAGTTAAAATGAATAAGACACAGCTTATTTTACAAAAGCGTAAGTCCTTTAAAGTATAAAACATACATACAATGTGACTGTTACCACATTAATCAACATGTATAAGAAACTGACCTCCAGGCCCTCCTCCATATCCATTATAGCCATCCCCAAATCCACGTCCGCTTCCATATCCATCTGTCAGGAATTAAAAAAAAAAAAAAGATTTAAGCTGGTTAATCCTATTCATCTTAAATATTCTTTCCCCACTTCCTTGAAATAACCTGGAACAATAATGAAACATAGTAGTGTTAACTGGTTGATCTGTAAAAATTCATACACAGAAGTGCATAATTAACAATTTATTATGCACAGTAACTAACCTTTAGACTTAGACTTAAGCACTAAATTAAGATTCTATTCATTTACACAATGGAAGGAGCCAGCGCTTTTTTGAAACCTTAGTACAGAAATTTTGGTAATAATTACACTTGAAGCATATAGCTTGCATGACATTATCAATATTTAAACATTGTTAAACTCACTAACAATTCCTGTGTGTAAACTTACTATTTAGGGATACTTGTTCTTTAAGGTTCTTGCAAGATCACTTCAACTGTTTAAAAACTGAAGGTGGCCAGAAAACCTGTGACATCCTGAATGCAGTTACCAAAACAAAAAAAAAAACAAAACTACCTATTACCTCTTTCCTAACCAAATTAGGATCTGTCAGGACACACTGATCTAAAAAAAATCTTTGGGACAAATTTTTAACTTAGGTTGTAATTCTTACCAAACCTAATCATACTTTTTTCTGAAATCAAGCATATTTTACCCTTCAAACTTTCGTAACTTGGAACTTACCAGATCCTCCTCTAAAGTTACTTCCTGGTCCTGGTCCAAAATTTCCACCGCCTCCACGGGAGTCCCCAAAACCAAAGTTGCCTATAATAGAAACTCTGATTAAYAGCAAGCACTCAAATAAATAAAAAGGGAAAGGGGGGAGGTGGATAAAAATGTTACCTCCTCTTCCACTCCTGGAACTTTGGACTTCTTGCATTTCTTGTCTAGACAAAGCCTTTCTTACTTCTGCATTATGACCATTGATGGTGTGGTATTTTTGCACTGGAATAAATGATTCAGACTCCATTAAATGATCACACTTTAATAGTGAATAATTTTAAAGTTACCTAATATGTGTTCACATACCCCAAAAATCTAACCCACACACCTAGTGCTTACAGACACTTACACACAATTTTGTCCACAGGATCATGGTCATCAAAAGTAACAAATCCAAAGCCTCTTTTCTTTCCAGACTGCCTATCGGTAATTATCTCAATGGTGTCAATTTTCCCATATTCTTCAAAGTAATCTCTAAGGTGGTGTTCCTCGGTATCTTCTTTAATTCCGCCAACAAACAGCTTCTTCACAGTCACATGAGCTCCTGGTTTTCCAGATTCCTACAACAGTGGGGGAGAAATGTTATCTTGACAGAAGAAACCAGACATGATCAAAAGTACACCATTTGGGGACTGTTAGTTCAGCTCAGTGGTAGAGCACTTGCCTAGCAYGTGTGAGGCACTGGGTGTGATCCTTAGCACCATATAGAAATAAAAGTAAAGGTCCATCAATAAATAAAATTTTTTTTCAAGTACACCATCTTTGTATCTTACTACAACTCAACTTTTGAAAAATAAGCAGGGAGGGATGTCTATATTAACTAAGTTTTAGTAAGTCATTCAATTAATAATTTTTTTTAAAAATTACATTCTGATCATTAGGAATTTTTTTCCATGTTATTGCAGAAGTTATAGCTTACCTCTCTTGCTACAGCTCGTTTTGGCTCAACCACTCTCCCATCAATTGAATGAGGTCTTGCAGCCATGGCAGCATCAACCTCAGCCATGGATGAGAAAGTTACAAAACCAAATCCTCTTGATCTTTTGCTTGCAGGATCCCTCATAACCTTTAAGACCAAAAGGAAACTTTAGCATTTAAAGTAGCAACAAATTAGAACTTTTACTGTGAATACTGAGTTGAATATTTTCTGTATGAGTCACATTTTGATCACAATTCCAAGAGATAAAGGGCTAGTGTCTGCAGCCAACTTTCCAGTTAACCTACCACACAATCTGTAAGTTTTCCCCATTGCTCGTAGTAGTTTCTTAAACTTTCTTCTGTGGTTTCAAAACTTAAGCCACCAATAAAGAGTTTACGGAACTGTTCCTTTTCTCTCTGCAAAGGAAAACACCATTTCAATTTTTATTTACATTTTCTCTTTGTATGCAGGAAATTAAATTCTTAAATATGAGGTGACCTGCTGGCAGAGTACCTTTTTCCTCTCCAAAGGAACAGTTTCTAAAGTTTTCTGGGGGGGAAAAAAAAAACTTACATCAAATTTAAACCATATGTTAAACTGCATATTAGTGTGTTACACCAAAAAAGTTTCAGCTGAATAATACAAGTTTCAATGTCACTAAAGCTTGTTTAAATTTACTTCACATTAAATTATCTTAACCCAATTAAATATCACGTAAACTTTTACAACTTTCTGAGGAGAAACAATCTATTCCACGGTCACTGGAGGGTTATTAACAAATTCTTAAAATTTTCATTCAATTCTATATCCTAAAACTACGGTTCACTTTACTCAACCTAGAATTCTTCAAATAAAGCCAAAGCTTACCAACTTCAGGATTCAGTACCCAAGAAGCAACATTCCCGAAACTGCTCCCTCTAGTGGTGACTACAAGTATCTCAACCTAATGAAACCACTGAAGCAAGTTTCTCCATGTAACTTTAAGATTAGAAAAAGATTAATATTCAAAATGTACATAATATTAACCTTAACTTTAACTTCTCATAATCAGGCAAATTGTTTTGACCAATACCATTTTAAAAAATGTCTTAAAAGTTTAAAATGCTGGTTTTTTGGCGGGCACTCCATTAATTTGGTTACTTGAGTGACAGTACAATGTCAGCAAATAAACAAAAAAATACATTAATAGATCTCATATTTCAAAAATTATAAAGTTTCATATTATAACACTATCACTTACTTGCTCAATTAAAGCCGTTCAGGCTCACCAAACTTAGCACCCATCTGACTAAACCACAAGTCTTAAACAGTACAAAAACATAATACTGGGATGAAATCTTTTAGTACCCTCAAACCAGCAAAAAATATACTGGATTAAACAATCCTTAATTTTGGGCAATTACTAACGGTGACTACTAAAACTGGGCTTATGCAAGATACATTAAAAGTTCAAATATGAGTACAAAAATAATCTTCCTACTAAAGCAGCTCTACTGCTCTCCACACCATTCTATGGAGGTTCTGGCTCCATGCAGTATCCCATCTGCACATAAAATGATTAAAGGTTCATTTAGACTTTTTTTTTCTCTTAGTTTTGAGGATTCTGAAATTTTAAAAATAACAAGTTATCAAACTAGTTCTCTTAAAATTTTCAGTTTCAAAACAATGGCTATTCAGCAAGACAGTTTCCACCTAACTGCATTTACTGTTAGGTGTCGTAATTAGATCATTAAATCCATAAAGTATATCTACAATTCTTACGTATCACTACAAAAAGCAAAAACTCATTACTTACCTCAGTTTTTTCCAAACTTACCCGAAGTCGACTATCGATTATAAACAAAGTTACTTTATAAATGTACTTAGGGTCAAAGAAAATAATCAGGAAGACCCCCTTCGCTTGAAACTTATGCTTATCAATGTAATGATCAACCATGATTGCAAACAAATGAGAAAAGCAAGTGACAAAGTTCAAACACACAGTGGTCCATGCCTAAAACAGTAATTTACATTGCAATACACGCATTATGAAGGACCGAGCCATGTTGTAATCTAAGTACAACTAGAATAAAACACGTTTTTGCTTCACTTTCTTCATAACTTCTGGCATATGTTGTAAGTAAGGACCGGTAGTTTTATCCAGTAAGGTTCAAGCTTCCCAGTAAAAATATTTAAAATACAAATAAATTCCATCACTCAAGCAGAACACTTCAGGACAGTAAAAGGACTCTAAATGAATACTCCTCCCCCCCAATGACCCTCCTCCTCGCTACACTCACTCTCGGTACTGAGGGCTCCAATTTTTTTTTTCACTTCGAATTTGCTACAATTCGACTGCTCTTAATCAACGCATACCCAGATAAAACCATTCGTCTTAAAACATCAAGGCCTGGAAAAGTGGTTTCTTTGTCAAAAGCTCGCGGAAACAGCGCCCAACGCCCTAGGTGGAGATACCTTCTCTGAGCCCGCGCCAACAAGCCCTGCAGAACCCCCCCCCCTTCTGTGTGGCTTCTGAATGCAATGGCGCCATTTCATCGAGGGGAAGGCAGAGCGCCTTAAACGAGGTGCGCAGGACGCTAAAGATCCAAGCTCACAAAGCACTCCAAATCCACCTCGAAACGATATGAAAACAGCCCGAGAAAAAAGAAAAATAGTTAACTACTTCTATGCTTTGATAAAAGAATTAAACTAGTAGAATTCAGGGAGTTATAAGAAAATCGCTGCGAAGAAGGAAAGACAGGAAAATGGCGGCCGCCAAATCCGGTTCCCGGGAGAGGGGGGGAGGGGAAGCTCCGCAGACTCGCTCACGAGGGCCCGATGCCCGCCGAAACGCTCAAAAGCGAAGTAGCCCGGGTCCCCAAGTCAGCAGGCCTTAAAAAAGGAGTGCTATTTCCCACTTGCGCTCCCCGCTTCCACTAARAAAGGGCCGCGGCCGCCATGTGGAAGTTCCCCATCCCCCACCCCAGTACAGGGAAATGGCGCCGGGAGGCTGAGGGTGGGGAAGGTGTTTGTACGGATCAGGCCTCCGCTATCGACCCCTCTCGCAAACACCAAAAGGCCAAGCGCTACTGAAGCGGCCCGGTTTCCTGCCACTCTCCCATGGAGGCGGCGGGCCGACTTCCACTGCGGCGCCAACGGCCTCGCCATGCCCTTTCCAATAACTCATTGATTTCAAACCCGTTACCTCCATCGCGGACTCAGTCGCTTCAGCCCGATTTCCCGCAGCCGAGCGAGATGAGAGAGATCTCCGCGGACGAACACGAACCGGACTCGTCCTGGCGCTGTAGTGAGAACTGCCGCTGCTCGAGAAACAACACCGCCAAGAGCACCTCCACTCGGAACCCGGCGCTGCTGCTACTGCCGCTAGAGCCGCTGCCGCCGCTTTTCTAGAACCTTCCCCCCACTAACGCGTCCTCCCCTACGTCAGGCCGTTACGTAAACGCCCTAACCGCCGCCAATGGCGGGAATGCGCTACGCCCTCCTTACGTCGAGTACGTGCTCCTCCCCCCCAACTCTGCGGATAGCAATAATGCTTTACGTCACTTGCGTAAATTGATTCAGTGAATTGCGGAAGGCTCGAGTCCTCGGTGTTAATCCTCTCGGAATTAAGTCCAGCCCCCGCCTTAGCGCAGGGCAGGTGAGAAACGGTCGCGCAGTTTGAAATTAACGCTGTCGGGAGGAGCTTAAGCGGCCGCTCACGTCCGGCCCCCTGATCCCACACGTTCCCTTGCAGCTACACCTTTGATAATCTTATCCCTCTTGGTTCTCCCGCCCCAAAACCCTGTAGCAAACCTTCGTTTTCCCTCCCCTAGCATATGGTAACTGACTCGGCCCCTTCCGGAAACACCCGAGGAGGCGTCTAGTCAACAATTTACACTGTTCATGGTGCACCCACCGAACCCTGGCCAATGCCTTTGGGGCTGACCACTCGGATTCAGGAGAGTCTTTTCCAGAGGGGGGATCCGAGAGCAACACTCGTCCTTAGCTCCCTATTCCCCCCTCTGCATTGGAGGCACCCTCTCCTAGGGGTGAGGAAGTAGGCGGAGTCCGGTTTTGGCGGCACCCGCCGCTACTGCGACACAGAAAAGCCAAAGAAAAAACTCTGCTCGCAGTCCTCGCCCCTCCCTTCCCACCCTCTTGGGGACCCCCCCCCAAGCCCCAGCCCCGAAAGGTAAGTGCCGCTGTTGCCGGCGCCGCGGACTTTTTCTTTCTCCCTTCCCCCCCTTGCATTGACCCGGGATTCCAGGCGGGCGCGGCGCCCCTCCCTCTGAGCGCTCGGCCCCGCCCCTCGCGGCCGCTCAGCGTGGGCGGCGTCACACCCCCCCCCCTCGCGCGCTTGGTGCCCCTGCCCCTCCCCCGTCTGATGTGACTCGAGCTTGAGGCGCGCAGGGCTGGAGACGCTGCAGATCCGCGACCTGGAGCATCGGAGGTGGTGATGTCGGTGGCTTGCTTTCTCTTCCCCCAATTCGGTGGTAGTGCTTAAGATAACCCGTGCGCGCCGGGGACCTTTCCCCGCTTCCCGACCCTTCCCGCTGTACTCCGTGTACGGAGCTACGGGAAGGAGCGGAGGGGCGAGCAGAGGCCCTGCAGCTGGTCTGGCGCTGCACAGGCCGTTAGGTGGGGAGGACGACTGTGCTCTCGAGAGGGTAGAAACCTGTGGTGCCAGCCGCCTTATTTCTAGACAAAGCGCATGTCCTCCCCTCCCCCGTCTCCGATCAGTAAGAGGGGCCTCCCTCCTCGCTGCGCTGCTAGCGGAGTTGGGCCTCCTGGGAAGGCGGTGCATTTTCCTGCAGCGTCGAGGCCTGGCGCGCGCGTTCCCTGTCCTGAGGCCGCGGCGTCCACTCCGTTACGTGGCCGCCGCCCGAGGGGGTGGCGCGGGCCCTGTGGCGCAGTGCCCTTGAGCCCCCGCGCCGCGGCCTTTGTTTCTCCCCGCGGATCCGCTGACCACGAGGCTCGCGCTCCCGGGTGGGGGTGGGTGCCTGGTCTTTAGGCCTCCAGTCGAGGGATTAAGCTGCGAAAGACCCGGGGCTTAGGGAAGAGGATATGTAGGGGTGAGTGTCTAGTGTCACGAAATAGGTTGGGGCATGTGTTTTTCCTTTCCTTTGGTTATTCCTAACTCCCATTTGAAAAGAGGGAGGTTTTCAGAATAGAAATCACCTGGAGTTATATATGTAGGAGACTGTTAAAAAAGAGATTTGAGAAAAGATTCATGGTAGTTGACCCTTGTGAATTTAGTAATCATGCCTGATTTTGAACCAAAACGTTTGTTCTTTTTTAGGGGAAAAAAATGAAAATTGAATTTACTGTAAATGGGACCTAGTTGGGAAAGTATTTCTCCATTTTTCTCTAGGTAAAGCTACATAAGATACCAGTTTTAACTGTTGTGCATTTTTCTAGTGTAGCTCTTCAAGTCTGCAATTTTAAAAAATGGCCTCCAATAAGACTACATTGGTAAGTTAAYTAAAACCTAAGATATGTAAGGATCTAGTTCTAATTTTCTTCTCTAAAAATTATAACTTGCATCTCTGTGGTTGAGAAGTTTATGTTCACACGTTTTTCCCAGTTCTCCCCAGTAGTCCAATAGGGGAGAACTGAGAACAAAAACGAATTTGTTAACATTGTCTCCTTTGAATGTAAGTGTCATGTAGAACACCTATAAGATGTAAATTGAGCAACGAATATACTTCTGGTAATTTAGGAATAATGTTTGAATTATATTCACAGAATTGAAATTTTGGGAGTTAATGAGTTAAAAAAAACTGATCGAAAACAGGAGTTTTGCTGAGTGTTYTTATTTTGAAATAAAACTAATTAAAGAATGTTACATGCTTTCTTGTGTTTCATAACAGGCTGTGCAAAAGTGTAAGAACATGTCTATTTAGATGTGTTAATTATAACACATTGCATTAATAATAATCATAAGCATACAAAGGTGAGTTAACATTTTAAGTAAAGCAAAACATCTGGTTTTAATCTGTATATTCTCCCTTTGGGTTTCACACTGAAAAGGCAAGTTTGTGATTTTTAATTTGTGCCTCAACCAGATGTACATGATGTCAGATACTCTGATAATCTGGAAAATAGATTGAAAGATGTTATATGAAGCCTGTGAAGACTCTCATAAAAAGCACAATCTTTGCCTCTTAATTTCATAGTCTGTAAACCAAATGTAGGTGATCAAATAGGCTTTTTATTCACCTGTACCCTTCCCTTATCCAATGGGAAAGGCATGAACTGTCAGGCTTTGAGGATGTATATGGAGAACAGAAAATCAATATACTGAGCAGGGCACAGTGGTGCACACCTGTAATACCAGCAACTAGGGAAGCTGAGGCAGGAGAATTGCAAGTTCAAAGCCAGCCTCAGCAGATTAGCAAGGCACTTAGCAACCCAGTGAGACCCTGTTTTATTATTAAAGGGCTGGAGCATGGCTTGGTGGTTAAGTACTTCTGGGTTCAATCCCTGGTACAAAAAAAAAAAAAAATCAATACACTGATGTTCATTAAGGTGAAGTGTTTTTTTGCAGTTTATTAGCCTTCGGTGTTTGTATTTATTGGTATTTTCTGGGTTTGTTTGTTTGTTTGTTTTAAGGACCAGATGAACCACTTAAGTTTTTAATCAATTTTACCCCATTATCCCAGATGAAAAACACTTAAAAATACAAATTGAATGCTGGGGCATGGTAGTGCATGCCTGTAATCCCAATGGCTTGGGAGGCTGAGGCAGGAAGATCACAGAAATCAGTGTATTCTAGGAGAGTCAAAACATTATCTAGGMGAAAGAGGTTCAAAACCTGCCTCAGCATCTTAGCAAGGCATTAAGCAATTCAGTGTCTTTAAATAAAATACAAAAAGGGGCTGAGGTTGTGACTCAGTGGTTAAGCACACCTGGGTTCGATCCTCAGTACCCCCCCCCCAGCCAATAAATAAATAAATAAAACTAGAGCAATGAATATTAACAAATTTTAATGCACCAGTATTGATCTAATTTTTTTCATTTTAAAATAATTTCATTAGTGTTGTGGGAACTCTGTATGTGTGTGTGTTTTAATAGCAGGAATGTATTTTGGCTCCAAAACCTACCCCATGCTTGGAAAAGACTGCTGGCTTAAGCCAACATATATTTTAAAAGAAAAAAAAAATGGAACACTGTAAAGTAGATTGTCGTGCTAGTAATAAATAAAGCATTTTGCCTGCTGGAGCTTTTTCTTTGTTTGATCCTTGTGTTTCCTTTTTGTTTTCTATTTTTATATATATATATATGTTCTTTATTAGCCTTCTTCCTTCATGGAGTAGCTGTTTTTTCTTTTGTTGTTCTTCAGTTAGGATCAATATCAAAGAAACTTTTTGCTGCAGTTTCTTTGATTATTAAAAATCATTACAGAGGTTTGGAGTTGTAGCTCAGTGGTTGAAAGCTTGCTTGCATGCGTGAGGCACTGGGTTCGATCTATGGCACCACATTAAAAAAACAAAATCAAGATATTGTGTCCATTTACAGCTTTAAAAAATTTTTTTAAGTCATTTAAGGTCTGACTTGGAAATAAAAACCTGTAAAATCAGATGTTTGATTCCAGAGAATTTTTGTTTAGACCCTTATGCTTATAGCATGTTGTTTTACAGTCTTGAACATTGCTATTTACTTTTTTCTGCTTGCATGCTTTACTTGTGGGGTGGCTTTAATGACCGGGTAATTGAGTAGTTCTGATTTTGGGTTTTTTAGTAGCATTTCTTTTAAGAAAAAAATTATTAAATACATTGTGTGAGGCAATTAACTGATTAAATTTTAATTCCTATTTCTCTTAAATAACATAATGCAAAAAAAAGGATAGAAAGAAGAAACATGCACATCTCTGTTTAAAGTGAATTTGGTTGGCTCCCAATGTAAAATTCTTCCTTTTCAGAAACCAGGAAGGAGTTCACATTAGAGAATTAAAGTGAAAAGCATTTTGGTCTGTAAAAGTGACATTGATGTGTTTGTCCCAAAGGGTCAAGAAAATCAGTTTTTTGTTTTTTGTTTTTTGTTTTTTTTGTATTTTGAGATTTTAACATTGGTTTGAATTGGGAAAAGCATTGTGACTTAAGGCCACCAGAGGTTCTGTTCTGTGTGTAAGATGTATGTGTTGAATATAAGCAGTATAGCCTTTAAAACGTATTCGAATTTTTTTAATGTTTCTTTATTTCTCTTTTAGCAAAAAATGGGAAAGAAACAGAATGGAAAGAGTAAAAAAGTTGAAGAGGCAGAGCCTGAAGAATTTGTGGTAGAAAAAGTCCTAGACCGACGTGTAGTAAATGGAAAGGTGGAATACTTTCTGAAGTGGAAAGGATTTACAGAGTAAGAAACTTCTCTGCATTTTTTTTTTTAATAACCTTTAATTACGGTCCTAAAAATTTGTTTTTGGCCTTACCTCACCAGCTTTACTATAGAAATCTTTAATTCTAGGCTGTTATTCAAGGTATGTTTTTTAAAAGCCAAGATTTTAGCACTCAACTGAAAGAATGTATTTATTATGTAATACATTTTAATGTAGTTAGGAAGATATTTTTAAAAATTAGTTTGCTAGTTATAATAAAGACTAGATTTAGCTTTTGGTTTGCCTATTCCTGCTATATACCATTTCCAAATAGTCTGAGCACCTACCAGAAATTGAAAACATTGTTTCACAGTTTCGGATTCCTCAGAGTCATTGTTTTAACGTTTTAAAACAACATTACTATATACCTTGGGGTGGGAATTGGGAGTTTGTGTTTTTAAAAAGACCCAGTCAAGTTCTTAATTGTGAAACTTGGAATAATGTTTGCTTCAATTCTATTGGAGTCAGGTTCAATTAATTTTGGAGTAAAATGGCAGATTGCCTACTTAGGACAGTAGAGACAGTCACAAAAGAATCTAGACACAATGTCTCAAAAGCTTGCAGAGGATAAGGGAGGGAATGATTAGTAACTGTAGTACAGAGAACTATTTTCCAGTAATCTATAAATAGATGCAGATGATGAACCATGTTTGATTGAATCTACATTTTTGTTTTGCTTTACTGAACACAGTGCTGACAATACTTGGGAACCTGAAGAAAATTTAGATTGTCCAGAGTTAATTGAAGCATTTCTTAATTCTCAAAAAGCTGGTAAAGAAAAAGATGGTACCAAAAGAAAATCTTTATCTGACAGCGAATCTGATGATAGCAAGTCAAAGAAGAAAAGAGATGCTGTAAGTATAAAACATTACCCACTATGCTGGCTCTTCATAAAAGACAAGGTTTTTTTGTTTTGTTTTTCTTCTAATCAAGTAATTTCAAAATACCATTAAGAAGCCTTTTATAGGGCTGGGGATATAGCTCAATTGGTAGAGTACTTGCCTCACATGCACAAGGCCCTCGGTTCAAYCCCCAACAGCACACACACAAAAAAGAGTCTTTTATAAACAATGTTAAGACTGATGCCTTTGCATTACAGTGAAGGCAATTCAGATAGCATATCCTCATTATAGTCCATTAGTGGTATTGACCACAGAAAGTACTTTTCMTATGATCTGTGGTACAAACAATACTTTGGTTTCAAAGTATATGATCTTTGATAACAATAATAGCTTTATAACTTCTGGCATAAATTGAGATATTTGGTTCATTCACTACATAAATACTTTGATCCAGTCTTTGCTTCATTAGTGCCTCGAATTGGGCAAATCTGATAACTTCTACCCTTAATTTAAGAACAGATTATACTTGTCTTACCAACTGGCCTAGCATGGCAATTTGGAGAAGTGTTTTGGTAATGAGTTAGTTTCTAGGCTTAGGCACTAAGTATGCAATACAATATAAATTGGTAAAGGATTGTAGATTTGAAATTTGATGATTTGAACATTAAATCTTATCTCTTCAGCATCTGGCGTAAGGAAGCTCTTCTGTTGCATTTTATTGCTGGGATATGTTGTTTAGGTGGAGGTATGTGAAAATAGTCCACACTCTGGTACATGAAAAGGAAACTTAGCAGAAYCTGTTCTCCAGAAGCTTTAGGGATTCCCAAGGATCCTCAGACCACCCATTAGAGAACTACTTCTAAGGTTTTTTCCTATTTGCCTAATTCACACTGATTATAATATTAAGTTTATAAAGTATTTAAAAATAATTATTGTCATTTCTGGAACTAAAACGATTAGTTTTACTGTAATCTGCACAATTCTGCCCTTGATACCTGTGAATGAACAAAGTTGTCTGGGTTTGGTTTTGTTTTGGGTTTTTGTTTGTTTGTTTGTGCTAGGGATTAAACCCCAGGGGTGCTTTAGCACTAAGCTACATCCTTGGCCCTTTTTTTTGAGACAAGACTCTTGCAAGGTTTTTTATTAGGGTCTCTAAATTGCTGGTGCTGGCTTGAATATGTGACCTTTCTACATCAGTTTCTGGGGTTGCTGGTATTATAAGCATGTGCCACCGCATACCCAGCCAGTTGTCTGCTTTTGGTTCAGTTTTTTTGTTTGTTTGTTTAAGCCTTCTACCTAAGAAATAAGACATGCACAACATGTCTTAGTACCATGGCTCTTACTTCAGTTGTTTCTATTTCACTATTAGAAGATTTTGTTGTAAAGGGTATATTTCATGAAGAAAAACTAAAGTTATTTGCTATGAAAAAAGTAATCACCTGACTTCTTTTAAATAGGCTGACAAACCAAGAGGCTTTGCCAGAGGTCTTGATCCTGAACGAATAATTGGTGCCACAGACAGCAGTGGAGAATTGATGTTTCTTATGAAATG